CTGTGTGTGTATGATAGAAGAGCTGCGCAAGTTTATAAAACAGTAAAGGTATAGTCAGTGTCCTTCCTTAATGACTACCTAGATTTATTTTGATTTAACCCTTTCACTCCTATAAGTGACCAAGACAGAATTTCTCCTTACAGTGTCAATACAATATCAAGCAGGCAGGTGATGAGAATAGAGAAGAATATCAATCATGGGATTATTAGTTGATCCAATACCAAATTCTCTGAATTAACATCATAAGAATTGTATGGAAGATAGTAAGGAGAATTACTAATTAGATCTTGGGAGTAAAAGGGTTAAAGTGACATTCTTTGCCTTGCAAATGTAAGTGCAAGTTGAAAGTTGATATTTAATATGTGTGAGTGTTCTTTCTTTTTTAACCTTAAATGCTTTTGTTCCTAAATTATGTCATGTAACTAAATACCTTACCTTTGTAAAATATGAGGAGCTTGTAGCTTGTATAACCCTCATGGTTTCTCTAAAGGTATCCTTGCCACATGTTAAATTTTCCATTATATTGTAATAAATTTGTATTATTTTTACCAATGTGTTATATTTCAAAAATGGCAGAATAGAAAAAAAAAAGAAAAAAAAGGAAGAGACCATAAGATATTAGTTTGGTAGAAAAAGATCCAAGAAGGAAAAAGAAAATAACCAAGAAGGAGAGAGGATGGCCCAGGCAAAAAAAGATCAAACTGGATACCAAATAACTGAGGCTTAGTTTTTTTTAATAAGATTTAGAAACAGTGATACAGCTCCATTAACTGAATTTGTCAGTTAGTGAATTGAATGAAGTGGTTAGAATGTTCAGATACAGAAAATGAAAAAGATTTTCGCATTTTTGATAACTACCATTAAGTGACCCATTGATTACCTAGACTACTTAATCAGGGAGTTTCTCCATAAACCATTGCTAGTGATATAAAATACTTAGGCAGCTTTGCAAACACAAGTACAAATAAGAGAGCATGCTCTTAGGCAAAACGGATGGCTGTTAGAGGTTTTAAAGATGCTGTTAGACTGCAGGTAATAAGCTTTAGTTGAGAACACTGCATCTTCCAGCTCTGAATGTTATTCAAATTAAACTCAGTTTCATACAAATAGTTGAGCATCAGGTCTCGCTTTGAAAAGGAGGCCAAAGGTAATTTGAAAGGGGCCTATTTAGACTTGAATAAAAACATAACGATGCAAGATAGCATCATGACTATTTGCTCCCCTAAGACAAGTGTTTGGTGCTTAAATACATTTTCTGAAGTCATGTTGCTGTTTGTAGCTTGAGAGTCCAGTCTTCAGCTTGTGCCATAGTTCCAGTTGTGGCTATAACTACCTCAGGGTTGGAGGAAGGGAAGGTCGCCTGCACCTGTTGGACACAACAGCTGATAGATTTGAAGAGATAACAGTAAGTTGTGGTGTGGGAATTGAGACAGAAAGATCCTTCAAATTCTTGAAAAATTCTGATATGCACTTTGGCATTGTTTAAAATCTCTGACTTAAGACAGTGCATAGATTCAGTGTGTCTTATTACAAATGCAACTTGTTTTGAAATGTTTAGTGAATTAGTTGTTCCTTTTTTCCAAGCCTAGCATTGAACTCGATTCCAAAGGGAAAATCTCTGCTATGTGTCACTATGGAGGTGCAGTTGTAGCCTGCTCAACAGACAAATCTATTAAGGTAAGAAGTAACAAGGACATAGGCAGGATTTCTCTCAAGAGAGAGGGGGGGTAGGGACATGCAAGGTTGCTTTATTGTAAGAATTATTATGAATTATCCCTTTGTTCTTGACCAAGGGAGGAGGTCATATGCACCTTAACCTCCCCCCCCTTGCTCAAGGGTTGCAAAGGAGCAATGGATATATCTCTCCCTTTCAACAGTCCTTGGGTTTGAATAATTATTAATTATGATTATTATCCTCCGTTTGCAGGTGTTGGAACCCTCTCGTGTCTTATCTGTGATTCATTCATTTGATTGTCATTCTGGACAAGTTGCATCAGTGAGTGTAAACAGTTGTAGTAAAAATTAACTAAGGATTGATAGCACACAGTTCTAACATCTCTTATCACAGAGAGAGATGGCTTATTAGAGAGGGGTCATTTTAGAGAGGGAGGGCTCATTATTGTGGGAGGCTTATTTCAGAGGGGTAGTTTTGGGGGAGAGAACTTTTTAGAGTGGGTAACTCTTTATCCCTTTAACTCCCAAGATCCGATTGTAAATTCTCTACTCTAACTGATCCATATTTTTTGTAAATTGGTTTGAAAGAATTTGGTATAAGATCAAGATGACAGCTTCTATCTGATAAAATTTAAAAGTTTGAGTATTCTCATCTTCTGTTTGCTGCATAATGTATGGATATTATAGGGAGAAGTTACATGTTAATCACTTCAAGGAGTTGAATGGTTAAAGGAGAGGGGAGGGCTCATGACGCCCTTTTATTTTCAGGAGTAAATGGGCCTTTTAAGGATGCTGTGTTCTGGTTTAACACCAGATTCTCAAAGTACATTCACACAGGTATACTACAATTATTAGGGAGATTAAAGGTCTTATGTAAGGGACATCGTGACTCAAACCCTATTTGCTATGTCTTTCACCTGACCAGGTTAGCAGCAGAGGACCTGTCTTAGCATCTTGTTTCAGTGAACTCAGTATAGGAATATGGAGGCCAAAGAATCTAAGACCAGCTCCAAGAATATGATGTTGAATCCTGGTGAACTTAGACATGAAACACATTCATAATGATGGACATTTGTTTTAACTGTACCTTGTCATACCTTGCATTCGTCTGTAAATATATTCTTATCTTCTCATCTTCTTGAGAAGGCTATTGCTTAGAAAGTTTTGCAAAGCTTCTGTTGTATCATTTTCTTTTCTACGTTATTTCATTTTTATTTCACCCTTTCACTCCCAAGATCTCGTGAGTAATTCTCCTTACTGTTTGCCATTTAAATTTTTATGATGTGAGTTTGGAGAAATTGTTATTTGATCAACTGATTAACCCCTTATGTGAAACTTATCTTTATTCGCATCATTTGTCTGCTTGAGATTGTTTAGATATTGTAAGGAGAAATTCTATCATGGCCACTCGTGGGATTTAAAGGGTTAATGTTTTTCCAGAAAGTTTTTCAATGATTATTTTGAAGATAGACTTTGGAGCAAAAAAAAACAGTAAATTTCCTCCATTTTACTTTGACATGAAGAAGGAAATCAGTCATGAATTTTTATAAGAAGATTTATATTTAACCTTTTTGTTATTGCCAGAACACACACAATCAAGTTGAAAGAACAAATAAAGGCAAAGACCTTTTGTCTGTGTCAGATTTAGGTAGTTTATGTCCAACATGACACGTCTTTTAGCGCAATATTCTTAGTCACGTAAGTCAATAGAAATCGGTAACAAAAACCCGGCTCTGTGTGAGCTCTGGGAAGTTAAGGGCGTGAGAAGAGTGACACCTCGCTTTAGAGTTCGCGCGCGCGTGGTAATGAGAGTTCACGCGCGCTTAGTCATGAGCGTTTGTTTTTTTCACTTTTCTTTTCTCGTCTTTTAGCCGAGGAATTACTGGTAATCCGGAACTGTTCGTTTTCTAGTCAGCGAATAAGGCCATGATGATCCACGCACGACAGCGTAACTTTACTTTTGTGTGCCTTTTTCTGATGGGTTGTGACTAGTCTGCTTCTGAAATTCGGCTGGTGAGGAAGAGCGAAAGAGCGGATATGAAAATGGCGGTTGTCAGAGAAACGACCGTTTATGCGAACCACTATGTTACTTTATTTCCATCGACCAATTGCTAGGAAATGGTGCATGGTTAACGAAGCTGAAGGAGGGTTAAATAGAGGTTGCGGAGAGTCTACAGAAAATTTTAGTTCACCAGACACGGGCTTATATTGACTCATAACTTTCCTGCGTAACACAGTAACTATAGTGCTCAGACATCGAAAACAGGGGATCCCAGCCAATTACAACTCTTGAAAACTAATCAACCAAATCGAGGCATCATGCCTCGTAAGGTGATGCCCAACCCTTAATCAATGGACTTCCTCGCCCAGTCGAAAGATCTTGACCTCCAGAACACTTCATCACGAGACAAACGGTGACACTATACCCCGATGAATAATAATCGTTATATAATCTTTATTCCTCCTATGATAACAGACGAATCTTAAGCAACATTCACAATCGTTAAAAAAAATTTTATTCTGAAAATACGGATGAAATATGCCCATGGTATAAAGACTTATGATTACATTTAAATAGAAGCCTATTTACAAACACATTCTTAATAAATTTATCAGAATTTATTTCCGGGCGCTGGACAGTTCTGTTTCTAAGATGATACTTTGTTTATTTTTTCTTCGGAATAATGTAACTAAGTACCCAATCAGGAACGACTGAGCGTGACTTAAAAGGTCTCGAATGTCTATTCTCTTTGATGTGTCTTTTCTTTTAAAGCACCTGTCTCGAAAATTTTGTACGAAAGTGAGATCTAAGTCTTCGGCGCAATAAGCGGACAGACCATAACTGAAATTCGGCAAAACGAGGGCGCTAAATAGGCGGTCTACTTTACCTTGCCTTAAACCTCCTTCCTTAAAGATCTTAGAACAAACAGACCCTTATTCGTCTTAATGACCACAACTCTTTTGAAGGATTGATCTTAACTAGTAATCAGTGAAAGAAAATAGAAATGGAAAGGCCTGGAAAATAAATGCAGACATATAATTAATTTTTGATGATAATACCTTTCAGCCAGATTCATCTATTCGCGCGTTGAAAGTTGAAAGAAAGGCACCAAAAGAATAGAAACATCGAAAGTCTTATCAACACAGATCAAATTTTAATTGCATTGGATCTATACGCGTATAAGGTGTTCGACACAATTGTTATTATTCAGCCAATGCGCATTCCTCTACTATTCGACAAGTGACATCAGATTCTATTTCTGTAAAACCTGGGGACGAGACTTTTTCAACCAATAAGCAGTTGCGTTACTTCCAGCATCTCGAGTTACGTTCTGAGAATAAGCTTCTTGGACAGTCTTGTGATATTGCGAGATACTTCTACTCTCAACAGCAAGAGATCTCTTATTCCTACAGAGGTAAGAAATATACTTTGCAGTCGATAAATAGCAATATCTTCATGGTATAGCTTGACTACCTATGATTTTTAAGGCACTTTTGTTTGCATAGGATTATAAATGTGTCTGAAATAGATTAGGTTGCCAAGAACGTTTTCAACGAGCTTAAATCTGTGCTTTTGTTCGGAATGCGATGTAACAGAAATAGCTAGAGAATCTGACTGCTTTACAACAAGCATTGATTGTAGAAGAATACAATTAAACTGAAGCTTAGCTATCTCCTTGTAGTAAAGATATTTTAATGGCAGGACATCGACACTCGACGTGACACCTTCGATTCGTTACTGGCCGGAAGAATTCTTATCGCCTAAAAGGTTTTGACTTCGATGACACGAAACAGCAAAATAACGCCTCCATTAACTGAATATAGAAACATCTATTGGCCTGTTAGTCGACTGAAGCGAAATCAACTATTTTTTGCTTTTAAAACAAGGAGATCGTGAAATAAACAATTCAGTGCGGAGGCATCGCGGAAACTCTAGGTAAAATTCCTTACTTTGCTCCATACAGAAAAGAATATCTTTGTAAGGTCAATGCCATCGCAAAAACCGCTTTACATTTTATTTTAAACTATACAATAGAGCTCCATTAGTTGATGGTTTAAGCGGAAGAAGTTCAAAAATGAGATCGCATTCATTTTGACAGGAAAATACAGCATGTTTAAGCTTATCGTCAGCTCCGACGCTGATTCAAAGTTGTTTGTGTTTTATCTATGTAAATAAGCGTTAATATATCGCTTCACTTGAAAACCTCCATGATATGTTGCTAAATGGTTTGCCCAATCACGGTATAATATTACTAGAAAGTATACATTTAGCATAAAAATCTCACACATATATAAAAGTGACAACTTGTGATGGTCTTAAGGTCAAACTGTCCTAGTTCACATGACAAAGTGTATTGAATTAAATAGATTAAATAGGAAAGGCAAGGAAAGCATCAGGACAATTGAGAAATGCTAAATATTAGAAACTGTTATTATGTGAAGAAAAGTTGTGGACCTAGTTTCACCTCTAGAACTGATCACCACTTATTGATTAATTTCCCATACCATATTTATACAAAGTTAAAGCAGAGATGTGATGAGGAAATGATGAATTAATTAATACAGTTTGATTTGACAATCCTAGAGTTTCAGTCATAAGAGATGTATGGCAGAAGTTACAGATAATTTATTTTTAGATCTTGGGAACGAAAAGATTAACACATTGACATTGAAAAATGTCAGAAAAACGTGAAGTCAACTTCAAAATCTAATACTGCCCAATGGCTTGTGCATCTTTGGAACTTGAGTCCAGTTGTTCAACAGGATGATGATGCTATCTTATTACTAAATTGCCATCTAGGGGATAAGTGTCAGCAAAACATACAGCACTATCCACCTGATAGAGATTTTTCTCACAGACAACATTATCCACCATTTGAAAAACTGGGGCTTGCTTGGAGTTCTTGGTTTATTTCAGGCCCATTATGTTTTTAATGTAGCACTAAAGTTACCATTTTTTTTTTCTGTTCTTCTTGAGGTTGAAAGCACCTCTGTAAGTTGCAAGAAATGACTAAAAAAAATAAGTAATTGCAATTTATTTCCTAAGAGTTGTGGGTTTATGATAATTTATGTTAAAACGACCTCATCAGATCAGTCAACTAGCTCTGTGAAAATAATATTTGTATTGTATATTGTTATTTTAGGATTACAGCACCATTTATCAACATTAAAGAATGAACAGGGCTGTGATAAGTTCTGTGGGCCTCCTTATCCTTCAGTTTATATCGCTCTCTGCAGGTACTGATTCTATTAATTAATAAGTTAATAGTATTCATAAGTGTAACCTGTTTAAATTAGATAAACGCAAAAATCCATATCTTTTTCACCTTTATACAAGATGGCACACTTGAACATCAAGGAATGTTGCTTGAGTTTGGAAAAATGAGAATTTTGAAAGTTCTGGTCTATAATGATAAACTTTAAGTAGGATAATGAAGAAAGAACAAGGAATTATTTATTTTTAGAAAAGTTGCAATTCTATTTTAAACTCCTTGCTAACCCTTTAACTCTCAAGATCTGTATGTTAATTCTCCCCTCCAGCTGCTACATATTTCCCAGTTAATTATTAATAAGAATTTGGTGTTACATAAAGGATAACAACTTTTATCTGATAAGTTTGAGTATTCTCATTGACCTATTTGTTAGATAGTGAATGGATATATTGGGGAGAAGTTACATGTTAATCACTTCTGGGAGTTAAAGGGTTAAGTCATTCTCAAGAAAGTAGAGACTGTAAGTACTATCAAGCATTTTTTTGTGGAGACACTGATTTTGAGGATACCAACCTTTGTGTTACCCTAAAAAAAAAAAAAAAAAAAAAAAACCACCTTATCACAAGTTAATTTACTGTTCAGTACAAATCAATTGCATAACTCAAGTTTGGAAGAAGTTCTCAACATCTGACTGATGTTTCTTCCGTTTACATCAACCAGCTACACCATGTGACCCAACATGCACAGCAAAACTAGGACAGGGAACTTGTCAAAGCAATGGACGCTGCCTTTGTTGGTGGGGATGGACTGGACCTAATGCAAAATACATATTATCTGGATTCCGCCAAAATCGAATATTGGTAAGGAATGTAAAATGAAATGACAGCATTACATGACCTGTTACTTTCAAAGGAAGATTCTTCTAGTGGAGCACGAATCACAATTTCCCAATTAACTCAGGGCAAATGACATATTTTGATTTCAGGCTGACTATTGTACCAGGTCATGTCACTACACTCACCACTATAGGAATATAGCTTGTGCAAAGATCCCCTCCCCCCCTCGGCCCAAACAAACTTCCACGGCAAATCCATCAACACCATTAACTACAGGGAACCCAAGCACAGAGAAACCAAGTACAGGAAGCACAACCAAAGGTAAGGGTTTTGTTTGGCAATCTAAAGCTACACAAATAATTGGCCAGATGTCTGATATGAAAAAATTAATATGCGGTAAAACACTGTAGATAGCTATGTTGAGGAATAACAGTCAACAGTGAATCACTATACTTCTTGTACAAATGAATATGTGGTTCACCAGTGTCTTATCTTTGTGTTATCTTAGCTCCACCTTCTGTGTCATGTGACCCCAAATGCACAGCCATACCAGGACAAGGAACTTGTCAAAGTGATGGAAAATGTCTTTGTTGGTGGGGATGGACTGGGCCTAATGCACAATACATATTATCTGGACTGCGCCAAAATCGAATACTGGTATGGAATATGAAATGAAATGGCAGCACTATATGACCTGTTACTTTGGAAGGAAGATTCTTCTAGTGGAGCTTAAATGACATTTTTCCCAATTAACTCAGGGCAAATGATATATTTTGATTTCAGGCTGACTATTGTACAAGGCCATGTCATTACACTCACCGCTATAGGAATATAGCATGTGCAAAGATCCCCTCCCCCCCTCGGCCCAAACAAACTTCTACAGCAAATCCATCAATGCCTCAGACTACAGTAAACCCAAGCACAGGGAAACCAAGTACAGGAAGGACAACCAAAGGTAAGGGTCCTATGTCTTGGCAATCTAAAGCTACATGAACAGTTGGCCAGATGTCTGACATAATAAAATAATTTGGTAAATCACTGTAGATAGCCAGGTTGAGGAATAACAGCCAATAGTGTATCATTGTATTTCATATACAAATGAATACATGGTTCACCAGTGTCCTATCTTTGTGTTATCTCAGCTCCACCTTCTGCATCATGTGACCCCAAATGCACAGCCACACCAGGACAAGGAAATTGTCAAAGTGATGGAAAATGTCTTTGTTGGTGGGGATGGACTGGGCCTAATGCACAATACATCTTATCAGGAACTCTTAAAAACAGAATTATGGTACTCATAAATAAGTAATTTTTATGTGATTTTAGTTGTCATGTTATGCAAAGAGCAGGTTTTTTTACTTTTGTCTCGACACATATTACTTAATTCTCCTTGTAATTCATTATCTTACATCATACAAACAGATTATGAGAAGACACAAACTTATCGCTTAAAGAGTGTTATATTTATCTTAGGCCAAATTCTCCAGCCTCATTTTCAAAGAAATGTATGGTAGTCCACTAGGAGAATGACTCAATAGATCTTGGGAGTTAGGTATTCAAAGGATGTGCCACAAAATTGTACATCATGGAAAACTCAGCCTAAATTCAGTTGTTGTCTTGTAATGATAAGGGTTGTCCATTGATTTAATTATTGCACTTATTTTTATAACTCAAACTTCCATAGGAATGCTTGAATAAAAAAATGCAAGCTGTTTTCCTTTATTTGTTTTTCATTCCCTTTGCAGCTTTGCAACCCCCTCAGGTGTTCCCCTACAAAACTGCCAGCTATACAGACTAGTTATCTTGACCTAGCATGAAAAATTACTTATTCTTTACCTAAATTCCAAAGGAAGCTTGAGTTAACACTTCAATAGTGTTTAGTTCATTAAAAACTGAAACTCTTTTGTTACATGCTTTGTGTTGTTAGGTTGGAGGATAGACTTGACACCTCCAAATTCTAATTGATGGGTTAAAATGATAAAAAGATATCAGTAAAATTGTGTCCTTTCTTTTCAGGCCGATTATTGTACAGAAGCTTGTCATTACACTCATGATTATCTAAATGCATCATGTGCCACGATCCCTACCCCCAAGGTGTGCAGTTTACCTGGTAACACAACTGACCCAACCATCCCTTGTGATCCCCTGTGTGGCACAGGGACATACCACAGTGCTGGGAGGTGTCTTTCAAATGGCCGTTGTCTGTGCTGGTGGGGTTGGACAGGTTCAAATGCCTGCTACATTGATGGAGGTCCTTATAATAACAGGATCATAGTAAGTGATGTGCATCTGACTTGTGAACAAAGGCAGCATGTTTACATCCCCTTGTAAGAGTCAGAGGGTTATGTTTACCTGCCAGGGCCCAAAATGAATTTATCTGTTACATACTAAGATTTTTTACAAACCGAAAGCTGGGTTCAATTGCCCATTTCACAAGGTGGCTAAGAAGACAACTTGGTACTCAACTCCCCTTCTTTTGTTGTCAGAGGCTCTTTAGTAAACAGGCGCTGATTGTAGTACTTGCATACTGGCAAACAAAGATCAATGGACACCTTGCTTTATTGTTTTTCTCCCTTGTTTAAGAATGGGTTTCCCTTCCATTACCCTTTCCTTCTACAGTATCCAGTCTTCTCTATCTTCACTTCTGTTCATTTACCTCTTGTCTGATTTGGGCCTGCCCTCATGGTGTTCAGCAGTTTATCTACAAGAGAGCCTCCACTAAGGAAAGAGATTCAACACTAGCATACCTAGACAAATGGTATGTATCTTTATGAACTTTTTTTACTGTCATAGGCTGACAGATGTACCAAAGCTTGTCACTACACTCATGACCATAGAAATATCAATTGTACCAAGTACAATTCAACAAACCCCTCAGTACAACCTCCAGTTACAAGAAAACCAAGCACAGGGGGAAGAACAACAGGAGCACCAACCACAACAACTTATCCTCAATCATCAACAGAAAAACTGACAACTGCAACATCACCAGCAGCATCATCCAAAACCCAGTCAACTACACCAAAAGACACCACCACAAATCCAACAACAGCCCATATTACAACAAAAGCCCCAACTACCAAACAAAAGACCACAACAGCAAAAGCAACCACCACTCAAAAAGCAGTGACCACTGCAGCAGAGACAACAACAACAGTGGCACCAACTTCGAAGCAAGTAACCACAACTCTTCCCTCCACCACAGCTAAGGACACTACCACTCAAGCTGCTGTGTCTACCACAGCAAAGACAACAACTCCTGCACCAACTACCAAACAGAAGACTACAACACAAAGGGCAAAAACCACTTCAGCAAAACAAACTACTACCCAAGCGACAACAACAACAGCAAGCACCACCATGCAAACAACAAAACAGAAGACCACAACTACTGCATCAACTACAGCAGCAACAACCACTCAAGTTCCTACAACAACTGAAGAACCAACAGAGCCAACTGAACCTACAGAACCAACAGAACCTACAGAACCAGGTGTATTACAGGTCAGAGGATGGGCTCTACAGGACCTTCAAAGTCAGGTAGGCCTGTCTAAGTCCATTTCACATTCCTTTGAAGCAACTTTAAACTGAGTGTTGAAAGTAATCTGGAATTTTACTGTTTTTGCTTCAATTTACTTCCCTCTCCAATAATTACCACTCCAATAATTAAGGCCTGCTTGTTAGCTCCTGGTTTAGTTTCCAGTATGCTAATCAGGCTAATCAGGTTTGGGAATCTCCCCTGATCAGCATGTTTTTTTTTTTTTGTTAACTCCTTAACTCCCACAGGTGATTGATATGAAACTTCTCCCTATTATATTCATACTTTGTCCAGCAAACAGGCAATGAGAATACCCAAACTTATCAGTTAGAAGTTGTTATCTTGATCTAACCCCAAATTCTCATAACTAATTTACAAAAAAATGTATTGAAGCTAGAGGGGAGAATTGACAATCCCATCCTGGGAGTTACAGGGTTAAGTAACATAAGAGCACATGCGAATAATTTCCATTTAACAAAGAGATTCCAAGTTGCCGTGCGTCTGTTCAGTAATAGATCACAGATGACGTCAAAATGTGGTAAGAACAAAAAAGTGGCACAGGGCACAGCTGAGTGTCACTGATGTTCTTACCACATTTTGACGTCCTCTGTGATCTATTACTGAACAGATGCATGCAACTTGGAATCTATTTGTTTCATATAATAAAGAATGAAAAAAAAGTTTTAATGATGACGTCATCTATACGTCTTTCCTCCAATAGATCATAAGTGAGAACCAATCAGAATGCGTGCATAACTGAGCTTATTATATAAATCTGAAGAGAAAATAGTTTGGGGCATTTAAAGTTAGCAGGAGATTTCTATGAAGTAACAGGAGAACTCTTTAGTTTCCAATGCCACATTAACAGCCTGGATTAGGTGTTAGGTAGTTCAAGATATTTCTTTTACTTAACAACGGCATGTTCATGTTGTCAGTTTTTCTTAAATTCTGTTACAGAATGATAATGCTGATAATGTTGATGTCATGGGAGAGGCTGATGCTGTGAAAGACAAAGATGAAGGTGATGGTAAGAAATCCAGTCATGCTGGAATGGTTGGTGCTGTGATGGTGCTACTTCTCTCTTTAGTGGTCTTTGGTGCAGCTGTGTGGTGGTCTTTTGGCCGAGGCAGTCAGTGTCCGAGCTTTCTGAAAGGTTATGAACAACTGGCAGACCATGATAAAGCGTATCTGATGAACGAGTTTTCAACTTCAACGGAGATTCCATGACCATCATTATCATTAATGTAGAGGGTCTTTTCTGGGACTATGTCAGAGAGCGGATGATTATTTTAGAATAGGACCTGTCCAGTGTTCTGATGAGAACTTCATTACCACACCTTTGATTAAGATGTTAATGTGGTGCAACATTTTTGCATGTTATCAGTGGATCATTGTCTTGTATAGAGGTGACTGTTATGCTTACCTTTGGCAATTTAAGCTACTTACATTTTTACATATTAATCCTTTACATCCTAACATCATTATGCATATTCTCCATACTGTTTCCTATGTTGCTGATAAGGGGAATATGTTTAACAACCAAAAGCATCTAAGCTGGTGATCATTGTCCTTATTCTCATGACCTTAATGTGTGATTCAGAGGTGATATTGTAAGGAGAAATTAGATGCTAGTAACTTTTAGGGGAAAGGGTTAATTGTAAAATTGTCTGCTTGCAGTTGATATCTAGTTAGGTGAAAGACAGGTATGTAGTTTGCAGTTCACATTTACTACACAGCATCTGTGACCTATACTTGGCTCTGTCATCACCCACAAGCTACAGCTTGGAAAAAAATATAAATGACACTAACAGCTTGTATTACTCAGACACTCCACAGAAAACCCAAGCCTAAACTTTGGGGTTGACACAGGTATAAATCACCAAAAAGACTTTAGAGCACATGCCTTAGAGCAAGTTGAAATTTTAATTTTAATTTTTGCAAGCAAGAGAATTAACTGAGAGAGAACCTTAAAAAGTAATTAAAATTGTTGTGGTCCAAAAGCTGCCGTGAGTCAGGGAGTACTTGATAGATGTAGCAATTTCTTAGTCACAACTTGAAGAGTCTATTACATATTAACTATGAAGCATATTTGAAAAAAAATTTCCAATAAATGATTAAAGGCTATTTGTAAATGCTTTGTGTTTTACTTCCTATATCTTTAAATTTATCCCTAATTGTGGCCTAAGTCAGAAAGATCTTAACAAAGAGTTCATCCTCTTGGTTAATCCTTTAACTCCCAAGATCTAATAGTCAATTCTCCCATCCACCTATTATGTATTTCCATTTAAATTAGCTACAAGAATTTGATGTTGGATCAAGACAACAACTTCTACTTGATATGTTGGAGTATTCTCTTTACCTGTTTGCTGGATAATGTATGGATATTTCTGGGAGAAGTTAGACTTTAATCCCTTCTGGGAGTTGAAGGGTTTATGTAACACAAAATAATAAACAATAATATATCACAATCTTGGACAAAATGCATAGGACACTTGAGCAAGAAAGTTTCAAAATCAATAAAATATAATGACATAGAGATGTCCACCCTCCCCTTTTCCTTTAATTTGACAATGCAGTTACTGTTAGTAATACACTTATCTTTTTCTTTACTTTTTCTTACTTTGGTTTTCTTGTTGACAAATGACTCTCAAGTACTCATGTGTAAGCACTTTTCAGAGTTCATCACCTGCTATTCAGGACACTAACTTACAGTGTTCTTCCGAGACTTCTTTGTAGCCAGCCATAACCTTTTAACTCCCATGAGTGACCAAGACAGAATTTCTCCTTACAATATCAATACAATATCAACCAGATAAGTGATGAGAATAAAGGAAAATATCAATTTGGGGATAATAAGTTGATCCAATACTAAATTCTCCGAATTAACATTATAAGAATTGTATGGTTGACAGTAAGGATTGATCTGGTAGTTAAAGAGTTAAGTTGCTTAATTTATGGCTTGCTACAAAAGAAGTCTTGGAAGAACACTGTAGATAGAGATGAATACCCACTCTATTTCAGCAACATCTACCTACATAAACCTTTTCCTTCCTAGTAGTAGCCAAGAGGTTAATTCTCAATACAATGCCAAGCCACTGTCAACCAGGCAGGCAATGAGAATCTAGTAAAATATCAACCAAGGGATATTTGATTTAACACAAAATTCTCATTGCTAAAATTGTAAGAAATGCTTGGCAGACAGTAAGGAGAAGTACTGTCAAGATCTTGAAAGTGAAAAGGCCTAAGATTTGAGAAAACCCTGTTGTTGATGCATCAAAACAGTCCTCAAGTTTATGGCAACATTTGGCTAAATTATGACTTCCTTGGTATATTCATTGCTTTATTCAATGCCGCGCAGTTTGTTTGCACCCTCTGTAAGGTAATCCTGTTGAGGTCAGCTTCCTCTTGTCCTTTTCTAACTGTTGCATGATAATCCAGTTGTAACATTTCAGAGTCTAATGGGATGGCATTGACACCTGATGACAGAAGCTTCTCATGTAAGGTGTCGGTGAGCTTTGACAAGCCATCTAAATCCGCTGGTTTGTGATTGATTGAAAAAGCAAGAACTTTATTATTAACATTTGGTCCTTTAAGAGTGACAAGAATCTAATTTCTCCTTACCATATCATCCCTGAATTAGCCATGAAGGTCATGAGAAAAAAGGAAATGATCATTAACCAAAGAAGCTCCTGATTGTTAAACAAATTCTCCTTGTCACTACCATAGGAAATGTATGGAGAAAAGTATGGAGAATATGCATGCTGATGTTGGGGTGTAAAGAGTTAAAACAGATCAGTTATCTTTCCTACAAAGCATGTCCCCCATGCTGTTCTCCATACATTCCTTATGGTGCTGACCAGGAGAATTTGTCTGAAAAATTCACTGCTTCTTTCTTTCTTTGACAATCCTTTCCTTTATTCTTGTGACCCTCAAGTTAGATATAGTTGGGATACTGTAAGGAGAAATTAGATGCTTGTCACTCTAAAAGGCAAACAGGTAAAGTGAATTCCGATCAATATCAGTATCTGGGCAACTGCCCACCTACCCCTCCCCTAACTCAACAACAGTCAATTGATAACAAATTAGTGTTAATGTTGGGTTAGGGGAGGGGTAGGTGGGCAGTTGCCCAGATACTGATATTGATGCATGAATTCTATCTTGATTTCACAAATGATTGCAATAACATGAAGGTCAATTAACTACAAGGGTGTAGAGGTCAGTTAATTAAAAACAAAAAGGGTAGGGTTGTAAACAAATCATATGTACAACTGTAGAGTTTCATGTAAATTCAAAATGACTTCACTGACTATTTCTGCCTATTTCTTTACAAATACTTTTAACTCACTTTTTGCATCTTCTATAGAATATGACATACCAGACCTCACTTGCCTGAAAATGAACATAATGTATTTGTAAACATTACAAATATGTTAACAAATAAGGGGTATGAAACTAAGAGCAGATCTATTTTATAATTAGATCATGAGCCTGCAATTCCTATCACATGATAGTGGAAGAGGCAAAAATTGAGAGCAAATAATCTAATTGTTTTTCAATAAATTTACCATTCATTGGAAACTTAACAACAAGACAGCTAGCTTATGTTTTAATCGTACTTTGTTCACAATCACATACCCCAAGGCTAGTAAATATCTATCACAGATTATATTATCAGCTGAATTATACATGCTTTTCTGATTAGTTCTTTCTTATTATCTACTGGAGGACAGATGCATAGATGGCATGAATAGTAAGAGCACTCTGCTTTTTTACCATGTAAAACCAATAGATCCCATATTACTGAGGGTCTGTTCAGTAACTGATCAGAGGGTATATATCAAACTGGGAGGCAGCACCTCGTGTGTTACGGTTTTTGTTCTGACCACATTTTGACAACATTTGTGATTTATAACCGAACATTAGCTCACGGGCAACATAAAATATATTTGTTAAATGAATAAAGAGTAGCATAGTCAATCAGATGGCATCATTTGTGAAAGAACGCTACATAGTAGAACTGCAATAAAATTTCCAAATAGATACTAGAGGTGGTGATTAGAGACTACTGTCTCGACAACCTGAACAAAGACAGCAAGAAGAGTGCTTTATGCTCCAATCGAACAGTTGATCGGTTCTCTATGAGTTACTTACATTCCTGTGAAAAATTTATTTGCTTGTCGATGAACGAGTTCTAAAACAGATTCAAAATCGTTTAGGTTCTTACTACCAGACGTTTGTCCGGCCGCCATATTGGCCTCGTGTCTAGTTCTATGCGTTAAACCGCTGCCAATAGTGAGAAAAACAGTGGGAGGGGGAGAGTGTAGTTGATACTTTTAAAACCTCATTCAGTTTTACTTTCGGGTATTTTATCTGCAATATTTTCGGTATAGCATAAAAAACAAACACTGTTGTGATTTTGATTATTGTTGCAATTTTTTTCTCAACTGTATGCATTTTTTTAATTTTATGAAATTCCTTTCTCCCTCCCCACCCTAAGGATATGCCACTGCAATCTGTTGTACTACTGTGATATTTCAATGTTGTGTTACTTTTCCTTAACACAAATATGTCGCTCTCCCCTGTAGCCATCAAAGAAGCAAATCATCACATTCAAGGTTTGGTGAGTCGTGTTCACGAGCTGGAAGAACAAGTTAAAGAACTCTCTGCAGCTCTGAAGAAACAAAATGAAGTACATGCCGAGAACTTGAGGGTTCTTCCGCTGCGAATGAATCAAACATTGAGACAAAAAGATGAAGAAATACAAGAGCTAAAACAGAAACTTAAATCTTCGGAGGCAGTCAGAGAAAGGCTCGTTCGAGAGACTAATTCCCGCGAAGCTTCGTTAGAGCACCTGAAGAATCGTTCCCGAGTTTTGGGCGAGATCTGCAAGCATCGTGAAGCATTTGAGAGTATTTTGAGTTGTTTGAGTTTAATAGAAGATCCTGATAATAGCTCGGGTAAAATATCAGAAAATAGCATCCCCAGAGAAACAGATTTACTGGACAGTTACGAAGAAGACGAAGATATTAATGGAAATGATCGGAACGGGAAAATTTTTGACAGCGGAATTGGATCACGTAATTCCTCGTTTTATTATGAAAATGATGCACACGAGAAAGGGATGCTGCGGGAAGAAAATTCCTCAGGAGGTGCTTTTCAACAAGATGAAGAAAATCCACCTCCTTGTTTTGTATGATGGCCAAACGATATGACTAATTTGAGGTTTTAC